TTTCGTTGCCCAGGTGGGTCTCGAACCCGCGGGCTCAGGCAATCCACTCACCTCAGCCTCCCAAAGGCGTGGGATTACAAGCTGAGCCACCGAGCCCAGCTAGCCAAAGTTCTTATAGTGTTCCACAAGACCATTATGGGTATACCCCCCAGTCATGACATCTCTGACCTCAATTCCTACGATCACGGTTCCCTTGCTCACTTCACTGTGCCACGTAGAACTCTTGAGCTGTTGCTTAAACATGCTAAGCATTCTCTTGCCAAAAGGCTTTTGCATTGCTAGTCCTTCTACCTAGAATGCTGTTCCCCTCAGATGTCCACATGGCTGACTCCCTTACCTTCTTCAAATTGTCGCTCAATGATCACCTCATCAAAACCTTCCCTGGCTACCTTATTTAAAATTGCAACTCCCCTCATGCCTGGTCCCCCGTTTTTGTCTTTTTTTCCCTCTCTTTTGCTCATAGGATTTATCAAATTTGAACAAACTCCATGATTTCCTGAGTTACTGTGTTTATGTTTACTGTCAGTCTCTCCCCAATAGAAAAGCTGTAAGAGGCATGTTTGCTTATTCACTGATGAGATCCAAGCACCTATAACAGTACCTGTCACAAGTAGTAAATCTGTGTTGAATGAATTAAAATCTAGTGGCCACAGATGGCTTTCTCTTTGTTCAAATGGGAGACTGGCACATGTGTTGAAGTGTGTTACTCAGGCAGGCCAACTCAGGCAGGAGACTCATTGGCTGGGCTTGGTGGCTCAGCCTGTAATCCCAGCACTTTGGGAGACTGAGGCAAGTGGATTGCCTGAGCCCACCGGTTCAAGACCAGCCTGCGCAACTTGGTGAGACCTCGTCCCTACAATAAATCAAAAAGTTAGCTGGATGTGGTGCACCTGTAGTTCTGGCTACTTGGAAGGCCAAGGTGGAAGGATCGCCAGAGCACAGCAGGTCAACACTGGGGTGGCCATCAGCGGGCCACTGCACTCCAGCCTGGGCGATGGAGTAAGACTCTGACTCAAAAAAAAAAAGAAAGAAAGAAAGAAAGGAGATTCATTTTCCTTCCATGTGATTCCATGTCAATGTACGCTGCCTGAGAGGCACTGGTCTGTTTTTTAGCAAAAGTGATCCCGGCACCAGGGCTAGGTGACCTCGTGCATTTCTTTCTGTCTCACTGCACTGAGCAAGTGGCCTTCTGTGACTGTCCTTGGATATGCCTCTCCAGTTGGGATGGCTGTGGCCATCAAGACTGAACCTGCTCCAGCAGTCATGCCCAGTATCCCTGAAAACCCTGGGGAGGTTTCTTTGCCAGAAATGGACTTCTTGACTATCTTCATGGCCTTCCCATCTCCCACACCCACATGATGCTCCGGGCTGGCAGGGTCATACCTTCAGGGACATCGACGTTGTCTCGTTGGTGAACAGGAGAATGGCCTGTGGCTGGAGCGTTTTCAGATAGAAATGGATGTGCCAATTCCCAGCCTCTGGTGGTCTGTACCGCAGGTAGCTCTGACCACTGAGCCTCACCGCTGTGCCTGCAGAAGCAACCAGAGCTGTCACCTCCACTTGCAGTGGTTCCCCACGGGACCCTTGGACTGACTTTGTCTCATTCAGTCCTTGGGTGGCAAATAGAGTCACCGCTCATTTTTTAATACATGAAGAAACTAGGCTGGGGGAAGTTATTTTTCCAGGGTAGGTGTTCTAGGAACCCACTGGCATCAGTGAACCAGCTAGTGTTGTGAGAGGGTGCATTCAGCTGCAGGCAATTTTTTTTTAAGATTCTTTCAACATGCTTGCCCATTTCATGGTGGGTGATTTACCAGCACTCCTGCCCATACCTCGCTGAGTGTTTAGCAGTTTTTTTTAAAAACCAAAAACACATGACCTCCATGCCCTACCCTCCCTATTCACTCAATCTCACCCTGAGTGACTTTTTTTGTTTCCTTGAAAGAAAAAAGTTTTCAAAGGGAAACGTTTTGCCAGTGGAGAAGAGGTGAAACAAAAAAATGGCAGAAGCGCTAAAAGGCATCAGCACCGATGAGTTCAAAAACTGTTTTGAGCCGTGGAAAAAGCATCTCAATAGGTGAATTGCAACAAATGGAGAGTACTTTGAAGGTGATTGAAGTTTAAACATATAAGAATAAATACACCATCTTTTATAAATAAATGCCAGGGTTTTTTTTTTTGGTCCGTCTTGTATATGTCAGGCACTGTTCTAAGCAAGCATTTGATACATATAATACTGATTTAGTTCCTGCAACAGCTAGCCCAAAGGCACAGAGAGGTTAAGTAACTTTCTTAAAGTCACCTGGCTCGTAAATAGGAGAGATCAGACTTGAACCCAGATTGTCTGAAGTCACCATCCATGCTGTTAGCCATGATGTTAAACTGCCTATTGTGTCCTTACTGTTATTTTCAAAATTCTAAAAAGTGGCCAGAGAACTGGGTATTGTTCCATATCTGGATCGTGTGAGGCCACAACCTGTCCATGTCCTTTAGCCGTAGTAAACCTCAGGGGACTCTCCCACAGAGCCCGGCAGTCCAGTGGCCCCTAGGGAGGATGCGTTGCTCACCGTTGCAGGAGCAATTCCTCTGCAGGCGGTGCCGCGGGGTCAGGATGCTGAGCCTGGCGGTGCTGTACGTAGGCCCAACCTTGGGGTCCAGGTGCACTATGTCTTGGCAGGTCCGACCCTGGCAGCTGGGCCCCTGGCAGGGCACCATGGGCATAGCTGACCGCATCTGCACCCCGACGGAGTGCTCCATCTCCTTGGCCGAGCGAGTGATGATGGAGGCCAGCTCCTGGAGCTTGTGGAAGGTTCCAGAATGCCCCTCAAAGACCAGGAGCACGTCCACACCAGCCACGGCCTCTGCAGGCTGAAGGCTGGCCAGGTGGATGTCAGCCCGTTTGATGTCCAGCTTGTGGCTGAGGAACCTCTGTAGGTTCCGCCAGTGGTCACTTACCAGCTCCTCGGGGGTGAGCTGCTGGAAGCCCATCCACATGGCCCGCTGCAGGGCCTCCCGTCCCACGTGCCACACGTGCACGTGGACCCCAGCAGTGGTGCTGAAGGTCCCATCACTGACCGTGACGTTGAACGAGTAGCGGCCTCGAGGCAGGCCCTGGGCGGCCACAATCTTGCCGTCGGGCGCGCCCACAGAGAAGCGCCTGCCCAGAGCCTCATCTCCTGCCAGGCTGTAGGTCAGTGTGTCCTGAGGGTCTCGGTCGGTGGCATGGATCTTGCCCACCATGCCACCCTGGAACTCCTCCTCGCCCACAGTGATGAAGATCTCCAGTGGGAGGGCCGAGGGTACGTAGTGGCTCCGCTCTGTGACGTGGACCTGGACAGACGTCGAGGACGAGAGAGGCGGGATGCCACTGTCTGTTGCCTGTGGGCAAAACAAACACTGATCACCGGCGGAACTGCAGAGCTCTCGGCATGTCTCTCTGCCCCACATGTAAGGGCGGGCTCAGTGTGTTATCGCAGTCGGGAGGGGGGGAATCTAAAGCACTGGTGTATAATAAAGATTTTCTGAAGGTTCTGCAGAGAATGGAGGGGGGAATTGCATCCCACTGCCCAAGGGAAAGCAATGCGGTTTCCTCATCTGACATCTCTCTGAGCCTCTTCTAAATCCCTCCAGTCAGTCTGTGGCCTCCTTCCTTGTGGACTTCCTTTTTCAGTCTCTGTTCTTGGGAGGCATCAGGTGTCTCTTAGTGAGTCCAGCCCACAGTCTTTCATGCACCCTGCTCAGCCTGGGGATTCCCCTCAGCCATGTGACTGGGGTAGGAGTGGGGTTGTTCTTCTGGTTAGTCAAGTATTTATTGAGTACCATGTACAGGCCAGGCCTCTGCCCAGAGCAGGAGAAAAGAGACAATGAGTAAGTGCCAAATAGCAAGAGAAAGCACTGTGAAGGAAGTTAACACAGACCTAATTCCATCAGGTGGAGGGACGAGCCTCTGAGGAGTGCCGTGTGAGTTGAGTCCTGAGGGACGAGAAGTGACAGAGGGGACAGCAAGCTTAAGGTCCTGGGGTAGGAAAGCAGGCGGTAGGTTCAACGAGACAGAGGGGGCCACCTGCCAGTGTGAGGGTGAGGAGGATGGCTGGCCTCACTGCTGGGCTGGGGAGCACGGGTGAGAGTTTATGTCCGAGCATGAAAAGCCATGGAGGGTTTCACGTGAGGGTCCCCTGACCTCACAGAAGCAGGGAGAAGAATGTCTCTCAAAATGCATTTCCCTTCATGTTTCACCTAAGCCACCTCCTGCCTGGCTTAGGAAGGACGAAGCTTGCCTTCCAGGCCCTAGTGACATTATCCCTTCCTCAGCAGTCACAAGGGTCTCCACACTTTGCCCTGTAGTAATTATCTGACTCGCGTGCATTACAACACTTGGAGCGCACGAGAAAGTTGCCAAATTACATCGATTGCTGGGAACTGTGCACAACGCTGCAGAGACATCGATAGCAACAGCAACCATTAATAAGATTACTCATTACAACACTGCAACAACAGTTAATACTGTTACTAATTATATAGCTAACGTTAACTGAGAATGAACCATGTGCCAGTCACTTTTAAATGCTTTCAGTGCAATATCACGGTTTGTCTTCCTCATGAGATAGGTACCATCAAGTCTCCCATCCTACAAAAGTTACAACTGAGTCTTAAAGAGGTCAAGTAACTCGCCCAAGGTCATAAATTGGGTCAGGCCTGAGCAGAACCTGAGCGCCTATCTGTGTCCACAGTCTGTGTTTGTCTTTGTGACCCGTGGTGCCTGCCAGTGAATGGATGTGGAAACAAACAGGACAAATGCAATTGATGGGGGTGGTGCCAGCAGTCACCAAGTACCTGTCTGGATGCGCCCTGTGCCTGGGCCTCAGAACATTGAGGTCAGGAAACTGTTCCTTCTCACCTCGCCCAAGGTGATCACATGCGTGTTCTTGGCTCTGAGGACCATCTACATTCACCACATCTGTGTTCTGAGCTGCCCACTCCCCTTCCCAGCTACCCCTGGGACACCTCCGCCTGGGTGGCTCACAGTCAACTGGGAGGGAACATGCAAAACAGAGCCTTGTTTAACCCCAAAGACCTGTCCTGCCTTCTCCCCGAGTCCTCCCCCCTCATGAATGGCCTTCCCACCCAGTCCTCACTGGAGCCAGCAGTTTGAGATCACCCTGATGCTTCTCTTTCCTTTCTAGCCCCACACCAAACCCGTCACCAACTCCCGTCCATTTGCATGTAAAATCTGTCCCACATGTGTCCATGTCTTGTATCCTGTCCATCACCCAAGGTCTCAGCTCCACCATCTCCAGCTGATGACTTCTCATGGGTCACGGATCCTCGCCCCCCGCCCCCCCGGGGCTCCAACTTGAGCTCCCAAGACACCAGCAGGGCCCCTTTCCTATGGAAACTCTTTAACCCCTTCTCAGCGCTCACTTCTCATCAGATTCAAAGCCAGAAGGACGACCAAGGCTTCTCATTAGATGGCGGCACGTCCTGGTTTCCCAAGGACGGTTTTGATTTTTATGTGTTGTGAATCAGTGATCACCCATTAGTTATTTGTAGTGCCTATTTTAGGAGAATGTTCGTGTGCCCTTAAAATCCATAGGCTGAAATCTCATCGCCAATGGGCTAGCATTAGGAGGTGGAACCTTTGGGAGGTGACTAGCTCATGAGGGTGGGGCCCCTGTGAATGGGATTAACACCCTTATAAGGAGAGGCTGGACGGCTAGCTCACTCTTCTTCTGCCATGTGAGGGTACAGCAAGCGGGCCAGTGGTCCGCAACACCAGAACAGACCCTGCTGGCATGAAGATCTCAGACTGCCAGCCTCCAGAACTATCCTTTAAGCCATTCCATCTACGGTGTTCGGCTTAGCATCCCAGATGGACTGAGGTAGTACCTCTCTCACTCTCACAGCTGGGACCATGGGTAACACGGTCCTCCAGTTTGCCCAGCTATCTCCTGACATTGCTCACTGTGCATTTCCCCTTGGCCACGTCTCAGGTCACCCCGAGCCCTTTCTCTATTTGGGACCTCACCCATCTAACTCATCTAGGCCATCCTGCCTGGAACTCTCCCCATGTGGCTAGTGGCTCAGATCTCCGCTCACATGTCACCCACAGAGGCCTCCTCCTTCTGACCACATGCGTCCCCTGAGCCATGTGAGTCTCCTGTCATCTTATTTCTCAGCGTGTTGTTTCTTTCTACATCTGTTTATTGTCTCCATAGTTAAAATGAAAGGCCTGGGGACAGGAGCCATTTCCTTCTCATCCTCTGCTGTGTTCCCAGCAACTGGCAAAGGGCCTCACACACACCAGGTGCTCAATAAATGCTTGTTGAGAGACTGAATGACTGACGGATTGAATGGATACATCGTTTCCAGCTCATAAGTTCGCAGAAGAGCAGGGTGCTCTAGATTTGAGATTTAGGAAAGGGAAACCAAGTGAGGGAGGAAGGTCTGACCACCTTTTGACCGCCGTTCTTGGGCAATTCCCCAATCCATGAGCCCTCCACAGCACGCAGCCTCCCACGTGGTCCCAACCAACCTGTGAGGGAGGTCTTGTCATCAATCCCTGAGGCTCAGAGAGCTACTCTGGCCAGACTCTGAGAGTCAGAGCCAGAGTGGGGATGTCCTGCCCGGGTACCACGTGAGCATTAAGAGTTTGGGATTTGGGGTCAGAGTGCTCGTGTTTGAAGCTACCCACCTCTGACACCTATTAACAGTATTACTTTAAGCCAGTCACTTAAGCTCTGTGTGCCTCAGTTTCCTCTTCTGTAAGGTGGGGCAGTCATAGTATCTGCCCTAAGAGTGTGATGAGGCTTCAGTGCCACAGTGTGTGGGGAGCACCAACCCAGGGCCTGGCACATCACACATGCTCCATATACTTTTCTTTTTTTTGAGTAGGAGTCTCACTCTATCACCCAGGCTGGAGTACAGTGTCACACTCACGGCCACCATAGCCTCGACCTGCTGGGCTCAGGCGATCCTTTTGTCTCAGCCTTCCAAGTAGCTGGAACTACAGGTGCACACCATCATGCCTGGCTAATTTTTTCCATTTATTGTAGAGACAAGGTCTCACCAAGTTGCCTAGGCTGGTCTCAAACCCCTGAACTCAGGCAATCCTCCCGTCTCTGCCTCCCAAAGTGCTGGGATTACAGGCATGAGCCATCACGTCCGACGCCATACACGTTTCCTCATGAGGGAAGCACAGCTCTCACCTCTATCTGAAGCTGATACCATTCCTGGGCCCTCCTGCTCAGGCCCCCAGCGGTCACCAGCCATCCTTCTGGGGTCACTCGGAAGGCAGAGCCCTGGTTCCCCTGGGTGATCCGGAATGAATAGGGGGGGCCATTCTCTGGGGAGTCCGGGTCACTCAGGATCAGCTGCAGGACTTTGCTGCCAGGGGGGGCGTTCTCCTAGACCGAGAGTGACAGAAACAAAAGAGCAAAACGACCCAGGTCCTTCCTTTTGCATCTTTCTGGATCTCTCCTCTAGGATGAGTCCTTGGCTCTCCGACTGCTCATAAGCCATGTCTGGACCTTTAGCTGATGCTCACTCCTGCTGCCTGCCTTTGAGGAAGCTGGTGCTCCCTCGTGCCCCCTGCCTTTGAGATAGTTGTTGACTTTCCAGTCTAGACTAGGAGTTCCCTGAGAACAGTGTTGGGTCCTAGAAACAAAGTCCATTGGGCTTGAAGGGTCCTGAAAGACCAAGGTCAAACCCTTTATTTTCCAGAGAGGTGATCTGCCCAAGGTCACACAGCTGATGAGTCACGAATTTAAGTTAGTTAGTACCAAGGACTCAAAAGGGAATTATGTGACTTGCAGGGTCAGTTGAACACCCATAAGTGATTTCTTGCCTAGATTAATGCAACGCCCATCTGACGAGCAAATTCAGAGATAACTAGGAATTCAACTTAGAAAATGGATCCCCTGGGTATCATTCCTTTGTTCTGTAACAGGGGTATTCAGGGCTATACCGCAATGACTGTTAACTGTCTTTTCAGCATCACAGTCTCATCTACAAACAGAATCCAGTGTGCAGAAACTGATGACTGCCTGTCTCTCCCTGTAAAATAAAACCCTGCTTTTGTTCAGGGATGGGGTGGCAATGTCCTCACAAAAGATGTACCCCTCCAAAGAGGAGATGAACTGTGATTGATCTGAGTCAGTTCTAATAGTCTGATTCCCTGTGCCATTTTTGGTTTAAGGGTCAGCATGCAATCCAATTCAGATAACTGGATCAGGCCATTCATTTTTTAAAAGTCTTCTTCTTTGAGAAAAACAGAACCTTGAAAAGAAGTTCCCTTCTATGTGCTTTTGAAGATAGTCAGCAAGGATGTGAGACTGGGGCTGCCGCAGCCGTTTTGCAACCATGAGGGGCAAGGTTAACCCAAAGCCATCACATCATTTTGTACTGAAATAAACATTTCTGGAATGGAATTTTCCACCACCCAACCTCTTATCATGGAAAATCATAAGTCCTTGTGACTTAATACATTTTTTGTCAGGTAATCTGTTATTGGCAGCCAAAGCATCCTAGTTTATACAGAACAGGCAGAAGTGGAACAACTCTGGTGATGCATAGCAGGATCCAGAACTCTGCCTTCTTCACTTTCTCACCTCCCTCACCCCTTAAGGCTCCCACAGTTCTTCAGAGACTCCTGAGGCCCTTCCCAAATCCTATGTGCAAGCCAGTGGTATGGTGAAAATAGGCTGGGATTTGGAAAACCTCCTGGGTTTACACCCCAGGGTTGCCACATTCTAGCTACGGCATCTTTCTGCACCTCAATTTTTAAAATCTGTAAAATGGATACTACTGGTGTCATGTGGCTGCTGTGAGCCCCACATGAGCTAATGAATGTGGACATGCCTCACACAGTGCCTGACTATTTTTAATTCCATGATCTCTTTCAGCAGTCTGTTGCGTTTAGGAAGGTCAGGGACAAGTTGAGAGGACTGATGCCACTGAGGGGCACCTGCCCCCAGGGAGAATGATGCAGGGAGGAAGGGCTCGGGTGCCTTGGGAGGCTCAAGCTCACCTGGGCAGTGGTGCTGTAGTTGAGCTGGAAGAATCTCGGCGGGTTATCATTGACATCGACCACCTGGACAGTGACATCTGTGTCCTCATGCAGTGGGGGATGCCCGCTGTCCATGGCCCGGAGCCTCAGGGAATAGCTGGGGGTCTGTGGTGAGATGCCCAGCAGAGGTTAGCAGTGAGGCCCCTCACTCTGCCAACCGACTCATTGCTCACATTTTCAGAAAAATGAGATGGGGACACGTCCCTGTGCCCACCCCCAAGAGCCCATCCATTGCATTTAGGGCTCAGGTTCCAGAGTCAGACGTAGGAGTGACTTCCTACTCAACCAACTGGCTAAGAGACCCTCGGAAAGTGACTAGACTTCCGTGAAGACAGAATCAGGACTCACTCCCTGAGGTTATCTGAGGATCAAATGGCCCGATATATGTACACCACTTAGCAAAAAGCCTGGCACAGAGTAGGAGCTCAATAAATGGTGGCCGTTCCTGTAACAATCTTTCTGTTTTTATTTATTTATTTATTTATTTTTTGAGTCGGAGTCTCACTCTGTCACCCAGGCTGGAGTGCAGTGGCACGCTCACGGCCACCGCAGCTTCAACCTGTTGGGCTCAGGTGATCCTTCCGGCTCAGCCTTCCAAGTAGCTGGAACTACAGGTGCAAGCTACCATGCTCAGCTAATTTTGTTTTTTTATTGTAGAGATGAGGTCTCGCCAAGTTGCCCAGGCTGGTCTTGAACCCCTGGGTTCAGGCAATCCTCTTGTCTCAGCCTCCCAAAGTGCTGGGATTAAAGGCTTGAGCCACCGCACCCGACCTGTTCCTGTAATAATTTGATGACCCTTGGTCAACTGTGAGAAGCTGCCTAAGCTCCTCTAGGGAAGGTTAAGGTCACCCGGTCCCTCTCCTTCTCTGGCCTCATAGTCCACAGAGGCCCTCACACACTCTGGGCAGGTCTGGGAAGCGTCAGGATGGGGTGCGGACTGCAATTCATCCTTGGGACACACAGCAGGCCTGTGTCTGCTCTGATGAGCTCAGGGTGGGCCTCTCCCACAGGACTCACCTGTTCCCAATCCAGGGCCTTGGCCACCTGCAGCTGCCCCTTCTGGGGGTGGATGGTGAAATGCCCCAGCTGGTTCCCTCCGACCAGGCTGTAGGTGATGGCACTATTTAGGGGTCCATCTTCATCAGTCGCCGACACCTGCAGTGGGGGTGGGAGACAGTCAATGGAGACACAAGAGGGATTAGAAAGGAATCTTGGTCCCTGGGATTGCGGGGGGACAGATGTGTCCCTGTCCCAGTGACTGCATCGGGCAGTCAGTCCCTGGACCAGTCATTCCTGCCAAGGGAATCTCTTCATTTACATCCTAGTGTGGACTTCAGTGAGCCAGGATTCATTCATTCATTCATTCACTCATGCTGACAGACTGCTAGGGCCTGTCCTAGGAGGTGAGGAATGTACCTGCAGAAAGTTTAATGCTTCATTTTATGGGTAATTCTAATTTGGGGTAAAGCGTGATCATACTCGTGAGAGCAGAGAACATGTGTCATGTTACACTAGGGCAGTGGAAGAGGGCTTCACGAAACCTGAAGGACAAGGAGGGATTCGAGGCTGGAGCGGCATTCTAGGCAAAGGAAGCAGTGAGAGTCCAGAGCCATGGATGTGCAGAAGTCATCTGGGGAAATGCACATCTTCCTGTGTGGGGGAGCTGGGAGCATGTCTGGCGGGGAAGGAGAGAAGCCGGGAAGACAGGATGGGGAGGGCCCTGGAGACCGTGGTATGGGCTTGGGAGTTTGGTCACTGAAGGGAGCAATTGCATATTTAAATGCAGGAAGTGTCCCTCAGTCCCTGTTCCCCCACACTGTCACCCCATGTCACTCGGTGGGGCCAGGCCCTTCCAGGCTTTGGGGCTTCTGGCAGTCCTGTGGGGTCTATGTCCTCTCCTTCCTCTTCCATCAGAGCTCGCCTACCCTATGCCCCGTTCTATCTGTCTCTGATCTTCCCAAATGGGCGAGACATTCTCTCATGAGGGACAGTTTGGCCAAGGAGCTACAGATCAGAGTTCAGGCTATGGTGTATTCACTTAATAAACGAATCCATGCTCACGGATGGCTGGGGGTGGGAGGTGAGATCAGAGTCCACCCCAGGTCTCTGCCCCACAAGGAGCAAGGTTGCCGCCCCTTACTGTGAGGATGACGTCGCCCACGACGGCATTCTCTGGAACCCTCGTGCTGTACGGGTCTTGAGGGAAGTGAGGCCGGTGTTCGTTGACATCTGTGATGTTGACCACGATTGTGGTCACGTCACTGAGGGAGGAAGAGCTCTTCCGGCTGCACTCGATGGACAGAAAGTACTTGGGGCCTGTCTCGAAGTCCAGGCTGCTGTTGACATAGAGAATCCCTGAGGAACAAGAGGTGATGGGAGCGCTGAGACCATTGGAAGCCAGAGGCAGAGGACTACAGGTCTGAGCCCAGCCCCAAGAAGGGCAGCTCAACGGGCAGGAGAGGTGAGTCTCCTCTGTCACCTCCCCTTCCATCCCTCCTTCTCTGTTGTTCCCTTCCCCCTTCCTCCTCCATCTCCTCTCATTTTCTATCTTTTCTTTTTTCTTTTTAGAGACAATGCCTCCCTCTGTCATCCAGGCTGGAATGCAATGGTATGATCATAGCTCACTGCAGCCTCGAGCCCCTGGGCTCCAGTGATCCTCTTGCCTCAGTTTCCCGAGTAGCTGGGACTACAGGCTCTGCCACCACGCCCAGCAAATTTATTTATTTTTTGTAGAGATGGGGGAGGGTCTCACTATGTTGCCCAGGCTGGTCATGAACTTCTGGCCTCAAGCGATCCTCCTGCCTCAGCTTCTCAGAATGCTGGGATTACAGGCATGAACCACCACAACCGGCCTTCGATTTTTCTTATTAACATTCCCAATAGAAGTGTTTCCCTCACTCATTTCTGTAATGTTTGATTTAAATGTCATTTAAGTCTGTGATGCCAAATTTGTCTCATTTAGATCTAAAATAACTGCAGAGTGGAAACAATTGTGATTCCCATGTTCTAGGTGAGTCAGCTGAGGCTTGCACGGGTGTGTGACTTGCCTATCCTTACTCAGCTTGTACATGACAGACCTTAGATCATAAGGAGAGTTTCATGATACCCACAGTTGTTCAATAAATCATGAGGGCATACATTTATTATTCTGAAAACTAGAGGGAAAAAAGAAAAGAATAAGGATTTACCCTGTCTCTCTTGGATAACCGCATAGTTCATAGTGGAGACTTCCTTTTATTTTATTTTATTTTTCTTTCAACAGCATCACTTGCCAATGGCAACTCTTCTTTATGAAATAATTCAGTTAGAAAGTGAATGAGGAACTGGGCTCGGTAGCTCAGCCTGTAATCCCGCGCCTTTGGGAGGCTGAGGTGAGTGGATTGCCTGAGCCCGCGGGTTCGAGACCCGCCTGGGCAGCGAGACCTCATCTCTACAATAAATAAAAAAAATCAGCCAGGTGTGGTAGCGTATGCCTGTAATTCCGGCTACTCGGAAGGCTGAGGCGGAAGGATCGCCAGAGCCCAGCAGGTGAGGCTGCGGTGGCCGGGAATGGCCACTGCACTCCAGTCTGGGTGACCGAGTGAGACTCCAACTCAAAAAAAAAAAAAAAAAGAAAGAAAGTGATTGAGGAATGAGGAATGAGGCTGGGTGTGGTGGCTCACACCTGTAATCCCAACACTCTGGGAGGCGGAGGCGAGAGGATTGCCTGAGCCCATGGGTTTGAGAACAGCCTGGGTAACATGGCAAGACCTTGTCTCTACAATAAATCAAAAAATTAGCCGGACATGGTAGCACGTGCCTGTGGTTCCAGCTACTTGGAAGGCTGAAGTGGAAGGGTAGCCTGAGTCCAGCAGGTTGAGGCTGCGGTGGCCGTAAGTGTGCCACTGCATTCCAGCCTGGGTGACAGAGTGAGACTCTGACTCAAAAATAAAATAAAATAAAATAAAATAAAATAAAATGAATGAGAAATGATAGGATTAGAAATTTACCATTTTGCAGCCCTAATGAAATAGTATATCTAGGAAATAATGCGCAATGGCTGCTAAAACCATTAGGAGAGATGCTAATGAAGACATTGATCACAGATTTATATACAATTGTCTCCACATAATAGGTCAGGCTGATAACACCTGAACTCATGGTCAAGGTTAACATCAGAGAACAGATCCAATGAGGCTGGGTGCGGTGGCTCACACCTGTAATCCCAGCACTTTGGGAGGTTGATGTGAGAGGACTGCCTGAGCTCAGGAGTTTGAGACCAGCCTGAGCAATATGGCAAGATCTCATCTTTATCTTATAATAAATTTTAAATGACATTTAAAAAGAGAGAGAGTGAGCCCACATGTGTCTCCAACAGGATGCAATCAGCACAGCATAGTCTAGAAGCCTTGTTAACTGAAGCCAATCAAGGTCTTCCACCCAAGTGTCATTCATAGGACATAAAAAGGCGGGAGGGATATGCTCGATGACATCACACAGACATAGCCAGTCAATTCAAAATATGGTCAGTTCTCCCAGTCGCAGGACTCATGTTTCATTCAATAAATGGCAGGGGGCAGGGGATAAAGAGGAAGTAGAAAATGTTAGCGATTGAGACTTAAGATATTGCATATCAACAAAATGCAATATATAGATGTATTGGGGATGCTCCAAGTCAACTTCAAAAAGATATTTGTAAAATAATTCGAAAAATGGACAGTCTGGGTATGAGATCATATCCAGGGATTATCTTTAGGTGTGATATCTTACCTTTTATAAATGGAGTTCTCCTTGCTTAGAGATACACACCAAAGTCTTTACAAATGAAATCAAGTCTTGGATTTGCTTCAAAATAATTCAGGAGTGGGTGGGTGTGGGGCTGAAAGGAAGCTGAAGTCTGACTGGTCTCTGTGGATAATTACTGCGGTGACATAGGGGTCTGTTGTATTATTCTGCTTCTCTTTTTTCTCTCTTCGAGTCGGAGTCTCACTGTTGCCCAGGCTGGAGTACAATGGCATGCTCACAGGAACTACAGGCATGTGCCACCATGCCCGGCTAATTTTTTTGTTTATTGTAGAGATGAGGGCTTGTCAAGTTGCCCTATCTGGTCTCCAACCCTGGGCTCAGGCAATCCTCTCGCCTCAGCCTCCCAAAGTGGTGGGATTACAGGCGTGAGCCACCGTGCCCGGCCTATTCTGTTTTTCAATATGTTTAAGAGCCCCACAAGAAAAACGTATTAAAAGCACTGATCAAGGATCAGGCGGTGTTTGGGGAGGTAGAGAGCACTGTCCCTGGGGACCCGCAGGGGACAGGGGCTGACCTGGGCAGCCCGAAGCCCTTCTGTGAGTTGCTGAGTCTGACTTGGACTCTTCTATGACTGGGAGGAAAGAAGAGAGAGGGTTTCCTAGTGACTTCTCTCCTCATGAGAGTCAGGGAGACTTCAGGGGTGCTAGGAGGTTTGAAAAGGGTGAGGGAGGGTCTCCAGGAGACAAGCTGGCAGCCTTGTCCTGGCTGAGCGAGCTCCAGTTTCCAGCAAGTGCTTGGGGCCTCCGCAGCCAGGGCGAGGGGCGGCCTCGCCTCCCGGGGCTGGGCCTGAGCTGGGACCAGGGGCTGCAAACCGTGGGTGGAGAAGGGATCGCTGAGGGCTCTGAGCACAGACTCCTGGGGGGGGATGCGTGCAACAGGGTGGCTCCGGGTGCAAGAAGGGACCAGCGAGGCAGAGAGCAGAGACACCACCAGGGAAGTGGAGAAATCCCCCCAACGCCCCAGTGCACAGGCGTGTGGGCGGGGCCGGCTCACCTGCGCGCGCGTCCAGGCGGAAGCGC